ACTGAGTGCACCCTTGTCATCCCATGAATAGAGGCTTGGAGCTCTGCTCGATCTCCTCTCCTTTCTAAGTAGTAAAATTCAGCAAGAAGGAATGCTGAAACATTTAAGTATCATGCTGTATCAGCTATTACTTTGTTTCATCCCCCCCCCCCCAAAAAAAGGAAGTAGAAAATATCCCTTACTGGCTCTGAATAGTGTTATGAGATAAGCTGCGGGGTTGCTGAGCAATGTGTGTGGATGTGTTGATTTTCAGCTACAAAGGAATAAATGGAGTGGGTGTCATAGCAAGGATAGTAATTAGTCACAATCTATGACAAGACAGATGACATAGTAATTGCAGCATTTTTCCCTGTCATTTGAAGCTGATAATTATAGTACAGCTAACAGGATTATATTCTAGCTTGAACCGTTTAAATCACCTCTGTTGTTCTGAAATGTAATGGTAAAATTTCACAGTCCTCCAGAGGCTGCCAGTTGGTTTCTGCATCACAACTATTTGATAACTTTGACAACTATGTACTTTTTTTATCCTAAGGGGAGTAGAAAAGATTGATATGTAAAATGAGAGACTGGGTAAATACATATTTTAAAACAGTAAAAAAGGGAAGGTGTTAAGGAAACACTTGTGTTGTTAACTTCGTTAGACTTCAGGTTGACCAATGAATTCTGATTATTTTAGCCACTTCCGTGGCCGATGTAAATGAGTTTTTTATTAAACAAAAGCCACTGTTTTATAGGGGAAATAGGGAAGGAAATGATGCTAATCATTTGTTAGGGTCACTGTTCTTAGTCATGTAATATTGAACAGAAACTGCCCAGCAGATTCAGCTTGAATATTTTAAGATGAGCAACTGTTATTGAAGTTTAAAATCATGTAATTTGTGTAACATTTCCTATATTTCAAATGTGATAACAACCTCAACATATTACCCTGTTGTACCTTATTTCTGTAGGTATGCATTAGTAGGTTGTTGCAGCACATCTCTTGGGTGCTGACAGAAATACATCCATAACTATAGAAGCTCATCCTGATGTGACTTAGTGCTGTTGGAATATGACCAATAACTCTGTTATAATTGTTATAATAGTCGATCACTGTTGCTCTACAGATGTCAGGGGACTACTCCAGTCTCAAGGCTGCATAAACAGCTCTAATGCAGTGTAAAAATGAGGTAGGAGTGTTTCTCCCATAAATTAAAGTTCTTGGGCTTACTATCGGGAAGAAGGTGGAGATTTTAACTCATGATGATGGTCTATGCTGCTTTGTTGCTTGCTGTTAATTGAAAACTGTTGCATCATACTGTAATGAGTTTATGCCTCATTTGTGATATTTGGCCTGATATTAGTAAATCTGAAGTGTTGAAAGGTACACCAGCTCTCTGTTTCTGGAAGTATTCCATTTCCTGTTCATAAATTGATTTGTAAGTTAGGTGTGAGGGGTTTATCATGGTGTTAGCCAAGGGATGGATTCTGGGGCTATGCTGCAGTGCTATTTTGGGATACCGGAAATATCCTGAAATAGCTATTCCGCGTCTTTTGAGCACACCTGATATTTCAAAATGTAACAGGCTTGATATTCCCACATCCCTGTAAATCTTGTTCCACAAGGGTTAAGGGACATTTCAAAATAAGCTATTTTGAAATTACCTTGAAATAAGCTACACAGTTTGCGTAGTGCAAATTGTATAGCTTATTTTGAGGTAAGGGTGCAGTGTAGACATATCCTGTAATAGGTTTTTTCAATCTTGAATTGTTGTGACACTGTGTATTGTTATATTCTCAGACTTTATGCCATATAAAGTACTTATTACCATAATCTAAAAGTAAAGAACTTATAACCAGTTGTGATCATCATCATTTCTAGAAGTTGGAACTTCTGTGATCATTCCAAGTCTTCATATTCAGTCACATTGGAGTTTGTGTGGTTGACCACTAGAATTACATTTTATTTTTCTCAAAAGGTCATGGTAGAAATTATTGTCTTTCCCATCCAGTGGAAATCTCTGTGTTTTATATTTAGGTTTGTTACCTTTCAGAAATTAACTGCTTATGATAGGCAGCAGCCACTTACAGAAAAATCAGTCCTCTGTGCACAGAACTCGCACTGAAGTCAATGTGAGTTGTGTGCATGCTGGGCCTGCCGGATCAGGCCCTAAATGTAACGGAGAATTGGTTTCATTGATAATATGTCTTCTTAAACAGAAAAAGCATCACTAAAAATGAAGTAAGCATCTTTAGCTAAAATGTATTTCAACTTGTTGTGGAGGTAGACTTAGAGGTTTATTTACTATGTAATAACTCTTTACAGTAATGAAGTTATTTGAGGCATGTAACATAGCCTTACAAAGTAATGGATTTGATGTCTGGAGGCAGATCTGGCTCTGAGGGTTGGTTTTACACAAGGGAATTCAGAATAAGCGCAGTGAGTAAGGGGAGAACTCTGCCTTGAGGATTGTGAAGTGCAGTTGAGGTTGATTGAGTGAGAATGGAGAAGCTGAGATCAGTTAGATTGTAATCTGGGGCAGCAAATTCAGTTCTCCTTACTTCTGTTTCAGGATACAAGGAGCATACATAACCTTCTACGTCTGTGCCATACCCATTGGCCAGAGTAGTGTGCTTACCATTCAAGGGAACACAAAGTTGTACTTTGCACAGTTCTTGCAAGAGTCATTAGCAAGGGAGAGCTTGTTGTGCCATCTTCTGGCCTGCCTTTCTGGAGTGTGGGCAATGATAATCTTGTCCTCCTTACATTCAGGAAGGCTCCTTGAAGGCTCCCTTTAAATTATCCAGTGAATTTAAATGAAAATCCTGTCAGAATTTGCTGAAAAGATCCTGCAGTTTTTTCTGGTTGTTACAATTTCACAGCTGTCTGACCACTGATCACTCCAGAAAAAAAGTGAAAAATCATCTTTTCTTTTGCCATATCTCACCTAGTAGATATCTGAGTGAGTCTGAAAATAATGGGGACAATGGTCTCCACCCATCTCCTTTGCTTCCTGCCTTTGAAGGTTGGCTTCACTCATCCATGTTGTTTTCCTGTTGTCTGATCTGTTTCTTTTTTTAAAGTA